ATCCAGATGATTCTTCAGCAAAGATTTAAAAGTCTCAACAGTCTGAGTGCTCTTTAAATCCTCAGGTAAACCGTTCCACAGTCTTGGAGCAGCAACCGCAAAAGCCCGATCACCTCTGGACTTCAGTTTGGATCTGGGGACATCTGAGAGGAACTGGTTGGTAGACCGGAGTGCTCTTACCGGAGTGTAGATGTTAATGAGATCATATACTGTAAATAAGATGGGCCAGAGCTTTTAAAACTTTAAAAACAAGCAATAAAATCTAAAAATCAATCCAGAAGTGGACATGAAGCCAGGACAGGGGTCATGTGTTCATGTTTTTTAGTTGCTGTTAAAAGAGGAGCTGCTGCGTTCTGGACACTTTGTAAACGATGCAAAGATGATTAGTCCAAACCAACATACAATGAACTACAGTCGTCCAAACGAGAGCGTGCTCATCTGCTCACACAGACTCATGTTCGTGCTGCTGTTCGACATAACGTTCTTACGCTGTTAGTGCTTAGTGTGTATTTAGTTGATGTTTTTCTTAGTTCATATCTTAGATCTTATCTTTGTTTTTATTTTACGTTTTATTGTTGGATGTAACTGGGACCCTGTGGACATAATGTTGTTCCTCATGTAGCACATGAGGTGGAATGACAAATAAAGAACCTCTGACTCTCTGAACATATTTATCTGAATGGAGGAGCTCAGTCAGTAACGCTGCAGCTCCTCCTCTGCAGTCCCCCCCCCCCCCCCCCCCCCGAGCCTTGACTGGGTCTCTTTCATCTAGTCTTGGTCTTGTTGCCATGGCGATGATGTACTTTGCGGCAGCATCACGCGCTGAACGAAGACGAGTCATTTTTTACTAGTGAGGGGACGCCGTCAGACAGACAGACTGTTTTAAATCAGCTGTTCTTGTTATTTTATTTTAAGCCTGTATCTGTAAAGCACTGGATGATTGTGATTTTATCTATGAAAAGTGATACATAAATAAAGTTTACCTACTTACAGACAGGCAGACAGACAGGCAGACAGGCAGACAGACAGGCAGACAGGAAGACAGGCAGGAAGACAGGCAGGAATACAGGCAGACCGGCAGGCAGACAGACAGGCAGACAGGAAGACAGGCAGACAGACAGGAAGACAGGCAGGAATACAGGCAGACAGACAGACAAACAGGCAGGCAGGCAGGTGGCGGTCTCTGTCAGAGTCAGGTGTTTTTGGTCATTTGTCCACAGGGGGCGTCCTGCACAGCTCCAGCAGGACCAAATCCTAACAAATGTTTTTTGTCCAAGCTCATGACCTGTGGTACGTCTCACAGACTTCATAAACTACAAGAAAAGTGTTCAATTCATTTCTCAGCTCAAACATTACGATTTTTCAAAGAAATGTAAACAAACCCCGAGGATGAACTCTGGACCAGACCTGTAAAAAGACTTGAACACGTAGGACTAGATGATATGAGGAAAAGATTCAGTTCATGTTGTTCAGATCGCACTGAGTCACAACAAACGTCTTCTCAGGTCTCTGAACTAAAACACACACACACTAAAGATGAACTAAAACACACACACACTAAAGATGAACTAAAACACACACACACTAAAGATGAACTA